CTCTCTCTCTCTCTCTCTCCCCAACCCCAACAAATCCACAAACCCGCTCTCTCATGTCTGTCCATCTCTTCCCTCCCCACTCAAACAACCGGATTCCCTCTCTCTCTCTCTGTGAAGATCCGGAATCTCCGTACACTTCAAGGTTTGAGCAGCAAGGGGGAAACTAAATCTTGAAACTCCTTCCCAAGATATGCTGATCATCACATTCTCTGTTATTCTAGCTGTGAACCTGTGCGAGAATTTGCTTGTAGCTGAGCCTGGAGAATTAACCGTAAAATCCAGAGCCCCATCAACATGGCCTTAAAAGGGGCCATTGCTAACTAGAGTGAGAATGTTTGGGGAGCTTTAATGATCCCCAAAGAATATCAATAAAATGTTTCTGGTTTTCTATAGGAAGTTCTACACGGCATCATCAACAAAATTTTCTGACTTCCTTCTCTAAGATCCCATTCTTTTGTGAAATCACCAACCCATCATATCGTCGTGCTCTTCTTTGATTGCCACATTTTTCTCCCTCAAGAGGGAGGGAGGGGGTCTATGGTGGTGTTAAATGGAATGTAGGGTGGAGAGGGAGAGGTTTTACCGTTTTATGTTTTTTTTTTAATTTATATATATATATATAGTAGAGAGAGAGAGAGAGAGAGAGAGAGAGAGAGAGATGGAGATTGATTTTTACAGCATATGATATACTGGATCCACTTAAGAATCACTAGGTAGTTCTTTCAAATAAAAACAAAAAAAGAATTTTGGGTTCTTTAGCACTTCAGTTACTAAAAATTGGACGATTTACATTAAATTTTAGGATGTTATTTTTTAGGTTCACATAGACTGATTTTGAATTTCTTTATTTAATTTAATTTCTTTTTTTGGAAGTTAGTGCTAGGTTGTTTCAGGTCCTAAAAGTTCTCCTATACTGAGTTTTACCTGAGAGAGCAAATGGACAGTATGCTCCCCCAGGGGCTGGAAATCATTAGAGGATATTTTGGTGCGAAACAAAATGTAGAACTCATTGGGGTTCTTTTTTTTTAACATGAAAGTTGGATCTAAGGGGTTACTCATGTGCCAGCATGGTTGGGATATTTTGTAGGGATGATTTTGGGTTAGGGTTTGGATGTAAATTTATGGTTGGAATTATTTCCGAGCATTATTGAGGCATATATTCCTCTTCTTTCATTGCAGTAACAGCATTAATACTGATTTACTGCAAAGTTGTTATTACTCTGTGCTGGGGCGTCTTTGTCAGTTTTGGAGGTAATCCTAATTCCCTCTTCAATCTTGAGCAGGCTTTACTTTCCCCGTATCTTATTACAAAATGTTGTATTCCCAGTGATGATTTTGCATAGTTCGCTTCGGAGGTTGACACCTTCAACACAACAAGCAGATAAGAAATCAAAGAAAGCCTAGTGCCAGAGACATGTATGTATATAAGTTGAGAAGACAGCTTAGCTATTCAAAGAAGAAATACAATTTCCCAGTTATGGCCAAAGGGGACTCCTGCATGTTATCATGCTGTAAAAAAATGGTCACTATTCTCAGATATGAAGCAGGTAAGCAGGTTAGTGATACTTCACATTGTAGCTTTGTTGTAGATCTTTACTGAAGAAATTTTGTTTACTCTCTCTCTCTCTCTCTCTCCCCTCAGCTTTTTAAATTGTTTCATGGGATCCGATTCCCAAAGAGTAACTACCATACCATAAAAGCAAGGTGTCAATGCAGATAAGGTAGGTTTGAAGGCTGATAGCCATATAAGCTAGGTCTGAACCCAAATCCTCAATGTAACAAGAAGCATGCAACAACAGAGCTGTTTCCATAAACTTTAGGAGAGGACAGTATATCATAGAACGAAAATGTATTGGTGCGTTAGCTAACACATATATCTCTCTCGTTTCAACACTACATTCCCAAAAGAATCCATAATGTAAGAATCACCAAATTATACAAGAACCGTACTCTCTCACAAAAAAAGGTTCAATAACTTAAAAGAATGTAGTCTCAATCTATTCTACCGCACATGGCCGTGTTTTTTTGTGGGTATTGCATCATAAAGTTACCTGGATTTTACAGTACATATCTAACTTCCACAATAAATACAATACTTTTTCAAAGGGTGGACTGAATATTTTCCCCATTTGAAGAACACCCAACTTTGCACTGGCCCTGAAACACAGCTAGAAGTTGAATGATTGGTTTTGAGATAATTTCAAAGTTCAGTAAAGACTTGAGGCATCCGAGTTGGAGCCAGGATGAACATTGTGGATCATCTCATCATTCCATTGAATTAGGCAGTTCCATTGATGGGTTTAGAGGTATCGATAATTTTGCATGCATGGTGAAGAGGAAAAGTTGACGGCTTTAGGCGCTCGATGAGCAGAGCTAATGTTGATCCACCATCTGTTACAAATTTCTTCCATCTGATAGAGAAAATGAGGGACGTTGCTGGGGACCAGTGTTAAGAGAGAGCGTTGTAAAAAATAAAACCCAATGAGGGTAAAAATAAGGGCGGCTAGTTGCCAATGTCTGGGTTGCTCATGACAAAGGTTATTGGTGCCACTAGTTGGATACTGTGGATCTCAGGGTTTGGTAACAATTGCCGGCCTTTACGCACCAAAACTGAATCCATAGAAATTCTGGATCTATTTATTTCCTACAATAGGGATGCAGTTTTGATGAGAGCTCATCTATTCATGTGTTCCCCTCCCAATATCCATATCCGAGATGGATTTTGGATAAAAATTCAAGGCATCGCTAATCTCAACCGCAGTAATCATGAGTACGGTATATGGAAAAATACATAAAAACAAGTACTTTAAATAAAAAAGAAATAAATTATAGAAGGTATTAAACAAAATCAAGAAAATTATACCAAAATGATGCTTTGGAAAGAAATGGTTAAAAAATAGTCAATTTGAAGCATTTTGTTATCGCTATTCAAATTTCAATGTATTTGTTGAAATCAATGGTTTAAAAAACAGATCGATGCACCAGATCAAGCATTCAAAAAACCCATTCGGATCGATGAATCGACAATCCGGATCGAGAATCAGTCGAATTGGTTGAATTAAGCGTTATAAAAAATTTTAAAAAAATATTAAAATTCATTGTAAATATTATTTTTTAGGAATCAATAAGAAATCGGGGTACTATATTATTAACTTTCATTTTTTTCATCAATATGCGAATATTGAGATGTTTTTTTTCTGTATGAATTTATTTTAACCATTAAATTTATATCGAAAAATTATAGAATTATCATGGATGAAGTATATAATCATATATGGATTTCAATAGAATGGTTTAAATCGATAAAAAAACTGGCCACCAAAATCGGGAATCGGCGGAGAGCCCTAATCCTTTATTTTTTTGACAAGAAACACTTGTTGTATTACCTTTTTTTCTTTTTTTTTTGACAAGAATTTTTTTTTTTTTTTTTTACAAGAAATATTTGTTGTATTGCTTTCTTTCTTTTTTGACAAAAGTCTTTTTTTTTTAACAAGAAATACTTGTTGTATTACCTTATATATATTTTCTGACAAGAACCTTTTATTTATTTTTTTTACAATAACCTTTTATTTATTTTTTTTACAATAACCTTTTATTTATGTTTTTTACAATAACCTTTTATTTATTTTTTTTACAATAACCTTTTATTTATTCTTTTTGACAAGAAATGTTTGTGGTTTTTTTTTTTTTTTCCTTTTAACAAGAACCTTTTATTTTTATTTTTTTTGTTTGTTGTATTACCTTTTTTTTTTTCTTTTAACAAGAACCTTTTATTTTTATTTTTATTTTTATTTTTATTTTGTCGTATTACCTTTTTGGTTTCTTTTAACAATAACCTTTTATTTTATATTTTTTTGACAAGAAATACTTGTTGTATTACCTTCTTCTTCTTTTTTTTCTTTTTGTTTTAAAAAAGAAACAGAAATTTGACAAGAAAAAGAATAAAATAACGTTGCCAAAATTTGAACTAGAAACCTCCAATGTGAATGAAGGACGTGATAACCGCTACACCACGGCCCCATTTTGTGATGTTATTAATCCGAATAAAGTATTATATTATATCACCTTTTCAAATATTACATTTTATTTACAACATACCACATCGAAAAAGTGGAAGAAGATTGAAGTGGATAAATACTTCATTGGTACCAATTCAAATCACGTGCGAAAGAATGAGGAAGCTTGAAGCCCTGTGGTTAGGGCCACCTGGCTTGGAGGTGTAAACCCTTGGTTCATGGCCTTTGACCCATTTTAACCCAAAAATATTACAACAATGCTCATGTCATACACACAAGCTAGGTTCATAGCCTTTGACTTATTTTAACCCAAAAATATTACAAGAATGTGCACATCATACATGCAAGCTAGGTTCATGGCCTTTGATCCATTTTAACCCAAAAATTATATGGTTCATGACCTTTGACCCATTTTAATCCAAAAGTATTACAAGAATGCTTACGTCATACACACGAGCTAGGTTCATAGCTTTTGACTCATTTTAATCCAAAAATTACAAAATAATCCAAAAATTACAAGAATACCCACGTCGTGTGAAGTTTTCATTCTATATATGCCAGATCATGAATTAGTAACTGCACCCAATCTCTGAAAAAGTTCCAATTGTTTCGATCTTTCTATTTTTGGAATGGGATATTTACTGAATCCCGATGAATAGAATTAAGTTTTATTCCATGGTATTTCCATGAGATTCCTCTTTCTTATTCTTAAGCAAGCCCCCGAGAGAGCTTAGTTGATCCATGATTGATGTTTCATCTTTTTTTTTTTTTTCGTTTGTTTCAAGAAACATATCGATCGATTCCGATTCTTTCTTTTTCTATCGATTCTTTTCCGATCGAGATGTACGGATCCATGGATCTATGTGTCTATACAGATTCTTTTTCATAGATTAACGAAAATGTGCAAAAGTTCTATTGGCCTCTACCATTCTATGAGTCTCTTCCTTTTTGCGTATGGCATCGCCATTCCTTTTGGCAGCATCCATTAATTCGGAACTTAATTTGAAAGCCATATTTCGACCCGGACGTTTTCGGGATGCCCCTAATAACCAACGAATGGCAAGTGCTTTTTCTTGTGTAGATCTTATTTCAATGGGATCTTGATGAGTCGATCCACTTACTCGTCTTTGACCATATTTAACCTAAAAATTATAAGATAATCCAAAAATTACAATAATGCCCATGTCAAATACACGTGCGTCATCATTTTAACCCAAAAATTACAAGAATGCTCACGTAACGTCCACGCCATACACACCCAAAATTTACAAGAATACCCACGTCATACACCCAAAAATTACAAGAATGCACCCGTCATACACACGAGCGTCTTGCAACGATTTATTGTAGAAGAACTAAGCGTCATGCAGCGATTTACTGTAGAAGAACCGGGGGATTCATGACATCATGCAGCGATTTATTGTATAGAATCGCCCGGTTCTAGAACAACGTGTTTTATATGAATTGACACTGGGGGATCGATTCCAGTGCCGACTTGGGCGAGTCCGTTGCGACTCACCGATTTTTTAATCACTAGTTGAAACAATAAGAGAAATGGAATGTTTTTATATCAAAATAAATTAACAATTGAAATTGGGACTTTCGTTTTCTTTTCACATTTGATAATTGGGAGATAAATTTGAAGAATGGTGGACGAGGATTTTCAAATCAAAAAATTGAGGATTTTTTGTAGGAAAAATCTGTCAACCAAAATTGAACAAACAATGTTCTGATCTAGTTTAATAGAAGTTGATTGGTACTGCAATCAATCGAAAATGGGCTGATTATAGCCTCATATCAATATCAAAAACAAAAAAAACTCAAGGATTGGGCTAAAAGATCTATTATTGAAAATTATTTTACTTGAACTATAAGTATCAATTGGCTCATTTGGAATCGGGGCAAGATCCAACCTAGTACTTTCGAAACTCGGACGATTTCGAGTTGGCGTAGTGAGTTTCTATACTCTATTAGAACAAAATGTTATTCCAATGGCTCACGGGGGTGGTTTGGTTTTTCTTTGCTTTTCAAATCAATATAGAACAAAATGTTATTCCAATGGCTCACGGGGGTGGTTTGGTTTTTCTTTGCTTTTCAAATCAATATAGAAGTCGACATATTTCTTTACATGGCGAGGCTCACTTTTGCTACGATTGTTGGTAGAAACTTCAAAATTGCCTCCCTTTTTGATGGGCTGTCCATGAGTCAGCCAACTCATACTATACATATAGGGTCCCCTCTTAAACCATGCTAGAAATGGATTTTTAATCTAAAATTTTAAATTTCCTAGTTTTACAAAATTTTTGATTTCCTTTTGCATCCATATACGTTTTAAAACAATAAATAAATTGAACTATATTCTTATATTTATCTAACCGAATAAGTCTCTCTATCCAAAACCACAAGAGCTTGAGCTTCTCTCTCTACCCCAACCCACAGACTACTCTCTTTAAGGTCTTTTGTTTTTTGTTCCAAAACTCTGGCAGAGCCTCCTCTTAACTAGAATCAGTGAATAAATCCTTGAAAACTCTACTTCCCATTTGCCCTGTAATGATTAACTTTCGTTTTAGGGTTTATGCCGACAAAGACACTCTTGTTTCCAA